GTAATTATAGCTGAAATTTAAAGGACATACATACATCTGTATATGTATATTGTTCGTTTGTTTGTTTATCTTAGTTTTAGGGCCATACTTAGTAGTGCTCAGGGTATACTCCTTATGTCTGTAGGTGGGGATAACTCCTGTTATTGCTCAGGCAACCTGTGTGGAAGCTCAGGATTGAACCCGGGTTGACTGTGTGCAAGACAAGTGCCGTCCTTACTGTCCTGTCTCTTAGGTCCGTAAAAGATAGTGTCAAATAAAATTCATTATTTGCATAGGTGCTTGTATGTCAGATGTGAGTTCAAAATGTGAGGGTGCACGATGCGTGTGCTCAGTGAGTGGCTGAGAATCACCTCCCCAGGCCTTCCCATGCAGAGGAACCACAAGACAGGGAACTGGTGATCAAAACGTCCCATTTAATGCAGAGCTGTTAGCATGCTTATAGAACATCTGAAGGGGTTCAAGGTACAGAACTGCACATAGGTGTGATTGATCAATTTACAGAGGTAAAACATTTTGGCTGAGGTAATTCTCTTGGGAGGAATAACTCAAGGAGACACTTTGTCTCCCAGGAACATCTATATTACTTTTCTCTTTCCCTTTTGTTGTACATATTAAGCAATTAAGTTTACTTCTTGCATTTATTTGGATAAACACAGTAAGAGATAAAGATTCCAAAACTTTACTTCTCTGGGATTTTAGGGCAAGGAAGGTTTTTATTTATTTATTTGTTTGTTTGTTTGACTATTTATTTATTTATTCAACTTTTAATTTATTTTAGTGAATCACCGTGAGGTACAATTACAGAGTTACAAACTTTTGTGCTTACGTTTCAGTCATGGAGTAATAGAACACCCATCCCTCCACCAGTGCCCATTCTCCACCACCGATGTTCCCAGTATCCCTCCCACCACCCCCACCCCATCTTCACCCCTACCCCACCCTTGCCTCTGTGACAAGCATAATCCCTTTTACTCTCTCTCTCCTTTTGGGTATTGTGTTTTGCAATACAGGTATTAAGTGACCATAATGCTCCATCTGTAGTCTACTTTCAGCACATGTCTCCCCTCCTAAGCAGGTCCTCCAAGCATCCTGTACTTGGTGGTCCCTTCTCTAGAAAGCAAGGTTTTTAAAACATAAATCCCAGTCTAGATCCTCAGGCCAATTCAGCTTGTCCTTCCCCAAGGGGGACCTGTCTCTTAAGTCATAACAGCTTGCATCAGGACTGTGTTTCCATGCTTTCTAGATTGTCCCATTTCGATGCCAGGATAGCTTAGCATCTCGCCCTGAGTCCACCCCAGTCCCAAAGTAGGACCTTTCTTTGTGGGGTCTTACAAACTATAGCAACCAAAACCCGAGTAAAGTAATTACGATATATGTCTAGGAGTAGATATATATCAGAGTCAGTCAAAGCCCAAAATAATAGAAGCCCAAATAATGGTCTTTTTGCGCTTAAGCAAAGAACAATGTTCTATAGTAAAATATTAAAAGGTTATAGAGGAAATAGAAAATCAAGAAAGTCTCTTTAAATAAGAAGTCCAGAATCATCAGAAGTTTTGGTTTATAAGCAACCGAGGACAACTTGGGGAATGTAAAAAGGTAAAACACAAAAGATAGGTTAAAGACAAACTTGAGGAATTAGGGATGCTTGTAAGAACACTGTAAGCTTCTCTGGGAGGAAGAAAAGGGGCAATTCACTGATGAAGCCTAAAACATTTAGGGTTAATATCCAACAGCTAGATTTGCATGAATTTGAACAAAGATACAATATATTAACTAACATAATATGTAGGCTATTGTTGATCCAAATCTGCATTTATGTTGTGGTATTCCCAAGAAGCACAGACAATCCCGAGAACCTTATGTTTTCATTCACAGTCGAACTGTCATAGCTGATCAACACACCATGAGCTAGATGGGCCTTTCTTCAATTAAGGTGGATAAACAGTGACAGTCTGTCCCATGTAATCCTATTAGGGGCTTTCTTCAGGACCATTTCCTGCACTTGCAGAATTATAAAAACCTCTCATAAGTAGAATGCACCTGCAGAAGAGCAAGGCCTGGGGCAAAGGGTTGGCTCACAGGGACTCTGATCTCCAAGAAAAAGGACACAGTTCAAAGAGTGGAAAATATACAGTCGGGATGCATAACAATAGTCTAAAAATCCCTCCCAGGGTGCTTTATTGACTTCCAGTGATACCACTTTAAAGTAGTTAAGTGATCAGCTTTTTAAAGTAAATTTTGTCATCCTCAGGTAGAAGTTGTTTTTCAGGGCTTAGAAATTTGACTTATAAATACAGAAAAGAAGCATTTTTCCCCCTAACCCGGAGACTCAGAGGACCCAAAGCAGCTGTTTTTATTCCCTTCAGAAGTTCCGCTCATTATGTATCACACTTGGAAGATTTCTGTGAACTCTTTAAACATGTATTAGATACTAGCCTTCATTCTCCTTTTGGTCTCCCTTGAAAAGTAAATGCTAATAGCACCAAATAATGGTTGTTTTTTAATGAATCATGCTCTACAAAAGTGTGCTCCTCTCATTACAAATATCTCTTTAAACTCTCACCAGACACGAGTGCATGTCACTCAGGCAGACATTCTTCAAGAGTCTGTTGAGGCCAAGTGCAAGTGATCACTGCACTGTAAGAAGTGATTTATATAGAAGATGCAATTTGAGACTCTCTCCTGGGGACAAATGTGATTTGAATGCCTCATGCCTTTACTCTCCTCAAAAGATCCTTTGACTTCTCTTGCCTCTATTTTACATTTAATAAATGAAAACATTTGAATGATTTAATTAGATGGCACTGTGTTCAGTTCATGCTTCTCAAATTTTAATGTACACACCTGAGGCTCTGCTGACATGCAGTCTGTATTTCTAGCAACTTCCTAGGTTAAGCTCATGCTGACAAAACAAGGACCACACTTGAGTAGACAGTATGGGAATTTTCAGATGATTTGAAAATTTGAAAGCAGGGTTTAGAACAGCATCAAGCTGATAATGCTAAACTCATTTTTGTACTATTCATTGTTGTATTATAAATTGTCATTTTAAGCACCGAAGCAAATTTTTATTCAAGGGAATGGCTTCAGTGACCAAAAATATTTTTAATTTTTGAAAATTACATAACTTACTTTTTGTGCAAATATATTCATTTTTTCTTTGTGGTTTTCATTTTGTCTATGAAGATACATTCTCCTGCTTTTCAAAAAATAGGCATCTCTAAACAATAAAAAATGAATTTTACCATATCTGTCATCAAAGGTGTTTCTGAGATGGTTTACAGTCTTTTGAATTATAGAACAAATTTACAACAGTTTCAACACTTAAATATTATGCACATTGTTTTTTTTCCTTTCTCTTTTAATTATGTTTCTAAATATAGTTAAGAGAACAATTTCAAACGATTCCTCTGTGATTTTAGATATGAGTTATTTCGATCTCTATGTATTGGTGAGAATTAGGAGACTCAAAGCTTGTCATGTCCTATCATGTTAGCTTATTTTTCAGGGAAATCAAATTTGGCACCTTTCAATTAACTTCTTTACCTCTCCAATCTAAAGCCTGATAGAAAATACATTCGGGAATGAGGCATGATTACTATCTCAGATTGCCTTTACTTCCCCAACTATGTATTCTATCATTTAAAAGTTTGCTGAAAGTCCTTTAATAACATAAAAATGGCTTACAGATGGGGAAAAGGGCATCGGTGTGAAATAAATACATAAGAGGTGCATATTGAGATGCAGAATTTAAACATGATCATGGATAGGGACAGGCAAAAACAATTTTTATTTTTAAGTGGTGGCATTGCATCATAATTTATTCACAAGCATAAGCTTGTTGAACTCATGTTTTATATATAACATATATAAAACAAAATTATATATCTTTATTAAAATATATAAATATATAGCACTATATAATAAATATGTATGTATATAATTGATCATATAATTTATATTTATATCAACAAAAATATATATACATTTATACTTATGTATAATATATCACATATATTATAAATACTAAATAAATACAATTATATATACTTTTATATGTAATAAATACATACATATATAATAAAATATACAATGTATGCATACATAGAATATATGTATATATATATTCTTATTTGCTTTAGTTTGGGGGTACATCTGACAGTTCTCAGGGGCTATTTTTACCTCTGTTCTCGGAGGGATCTTAGGTGGTATTTGGGGATTACAGATTGTATTGTGGCCCGCTCAAGCAAATCGATGATTAAATCATGGTCAACTTCAAACTCGTGCTTTAGCTTGGGCTACTCTTAAGGGAATTGCCATGGTAAATCATGATAAAGATAAACTTGGAGGTTTCCTAGGTAAGCATAGGCCACGACTTTGACCATTCTGTTTGGTAACTTGAGTGTGAGCTCTTTGGAAGCAAGATAATGATGAGGCAAAAAATAAGAAAGGAAAGAGAAGTCACATGGGCCATCAGCAACAGGTCACCAGTATTCTTTTAAGATGGCATTATCAGTTTCATTTTGCCATTGTTCCTTTCTATCCATGAAGAGTTTCATGTTTTTTGCCCCTAAATTTTTATTACTTGTTTAATCACTTGATGTATTTTGACATGAGAAAACAGAATAGGACCACTTGGAAATGAAGGTGATCATTCTCCATTGGTTCTGGGGATTCAGCTGTGCCTATCTCTTACAATGTGAAAATAGATACCTAAGAAAAGGTGCTGATTGAAATGCAAAACTCACAGAATCAGCAATGGTGGTGAGAGGCAAAGGCATCATCTTCTTTCTAAGATAAAATAATGCAATCATTCATTTCTTGAATATCCGTGAACTCAATGATTATTACTTAAAATATCACTTAAATATTACTTAAAATATCAACCTTCTTGACAGAGTGACACATGGATGTTGAAAAGCTTGTAGTCAAATCAGCACTAACTGATTTGGCAGTTACTGCCACTAACTGACTTTTTTTTCTCTACTTTTCTACAACAGATTTCAGATTGAGCTTCATCAAGAAGTTCATAGGCTGATCAACGCGGACACGACCTACAACAGAATAAGGGAGTCCCTCCAGCCCAGTCGCACCCTCATGGACCACTAATAATTTGGAATCGCCCCTTTACCTGTGCGGAAAATTCTCACAATCAAATTTTATTTTTGCACATGGAGGACAGAAGCAAAGAGGGCAATAAAGGCTGATAAAACCAGAGGCCTCAAAAGATTCTTTCTACTGCGTGGGCCTTCAGGACTTTTCCTCTTGCTGCAGTTCTGGACTTTGACAGAATCCCATTCTGTCCTTTTGGTTTTGGTATCTGGTTTTTGTTTTCATTTTGTTCCATTGCTTTTGATTTCCCCCCATCACAGTGTTTTTGATTTCTGTACTTCAGAAATGGGCCTACAGACCACCCAGTGGCCCAGCCGTGGGGCTTTTTTCCTGAAATCTTGGCTTCTCATTTCCCTGGGGCTCTACTCACAAGTGTCAACAGTCTTGGCGTGCCCTAGCGTGTGCCGCTGTGACAGGAACTTTGTCTACTGTAACGAGCGAAGTTTGACCTCAGTGCCTCTTGGGATCCCGGAGGGCGTAACCGTACTCTACCTCCACAACAACCAAATTAATAATGCTGGATTTCCTGCAGAACTGCACAATGTACAGTCGGTGCACACCGTCTACCTTTACGGCAACCAACTGGATGAATTCCCCATGAACCTTCCCAAGAATGTCAGAGTTCTCCATCTGCAGGAAAACAACATTCAGACCATTTCACGAGCAGCACTAGCCCAACTCTTGAAGCTGGAAGAGCTGCACCTGGATGACAATTCTATATCCACAGTTGGGGTGGAAGATGGGGCCTTCCGGGAGGCAATCAGCCTCAAGTTATTGTTTCTTTCCAAGAATCACCTGAGCAGCGTGCCTGTTGGACTTCCCATGGACCTGCAAGAGCTGAGAGTGGATGAGAATCGGATTGCTGTCATCTCTGACATGGCCTTTCAGAACCTCACGAGCTTGGAGCGTCTGATTGTGGACGGGAACCTCCTGACCAACAAGGGCATCGCTGAGGGCACCTTCAGCCATCTCACCAAACTCAAGGAATTTTCCATCGTCCGGAATTCACTCTCCCACCCGCCTCCTGATCTCCCCGGTACGCATCTGATCAGGCTGTACCTGCAGGACAACCAGATCAACCACATCCCCCTGACAGCCTTCTCAAATCTCCGGAAGCTGGAACGACTGGACATCTCCAACAACCAGCTGAGAATGTTGACGCAAGGTGTCTTCGATAATCTCTCCAATCTGAAGCAGCTCACTGCTCGGAATAACCCTTGGTTTTGTGACTGCAGTATTAAGTGGGTGACAGAGTGGCTCAAATACATTCCTTCCTCTCTCAACGTGCGGGGTTTCATGTGCCAAGGGCCTGACCAAGTCCGGGGGATGGCCGTCAGAGAGTTGAATATGAATCTTTTGTCATGCCCCACCACGACCCCAGGACGGCCTGTCTTCACCCCAGCCCCGAGTACAGCTTCTCCCACCACCCAGCCTCTTCCTGCGCTCTCTGACCCACCCCCCAGCAGGGGCTCCACACCCCTCACCCCCACCCCTTCTAAGCTTCCCACGATTCCTGATTGGGATGGCAGAGAAAGAGCGACCCCGCCCATCTCCGAACGGATCCAACTGTCCATCCACTTTGTGAATGACACTTCCATGCAGGTCAGCTGGCTCTCTCTCTTCACGGTGATGGCATACAAACTCACGTGGGTGAAGATGGGCCACAGCTTAGTCGGGGGCATCGTGCAGGAGCGCATTGTCAGCGGGGAGAAGCAACATTTGAGCCTGGTGAATTTAGAGCCCAAATCCACCTATCGGATTTGTTTAGTGCCACTGGATGCTTTTAACTATCGAGCGATGGAAGACACCGTCTGTTCCGAGGCCACCACGCACGCCTCTTATTTGAACAATGGCAGCAACACGGCTGAGCATGCCCCCTCCCACAGCCTGGGCTCCCCCTTTCTGCTGGCGGGCTTGATCGGGGGTGCGGTGATCTTCGTGCTCGTGGTCCTGCTCAGCGTCTTTTGCTGGCACATGCACAAAAAGGGGCGCTACACCTCCCAGAAGTGGAAATACAACCGAGGCCGCCGGAAAGATGATTATTGCGAGGCGGGCACCAAGAAGGACAATTCCATCCTGGAGATGACGGAAACCAGCTTTCAGATTGTCTCCTTAAATAACGATCAGCTCCTTAAAGGAGATTTCAGACTGCAGCCCATTTACACCCCAAACGGGGGCATTAATTACACAGACTGCCATATCCCCAACAATATGCGCTACTGTAATAGCAGTGTGCCAGACTTGGAGCACTGCCATACGTGACAGCCAGGGGCCCGGCATTCTCGAAGTGGACCGTGAAACTCTGGAGAACACACACGTGTGCGCACAGACTGACACGCAAATTACATTTGATAAATGTTACCCAGATGCATTTGTGCATTTGAATACTCTGTAATTTATACGGTGTACTATATAATGGGATTTAAAAAAAAAGTGCTATCTTTTCTATTTCAAGTTAATTACAAACAATTTTGTAACTCTTTGCTTTTTAAATCTGAAAAAACAAAATAGTTGCTGATGTACTGTACAGGGTTGTACAATGAGAACCCAAGCCCAAGGCAAAAGAACGAGTGATTCTTCCTCATGATGCTCATTAACCACTTGGCTGTTGAAGCTGTCACAGTGAATTCCTCTGCTAGAGTTGATGTTCAGTTAAAAGGGCAGATTCCTAAAGGACTCACAAGCGTAGCATAAGGCATATGGGTGAAACAAGAAATGGCCAAGATATGTTTGTGCTATTTCTATATTTCCTGATCAGGAAGAAACGTTTAAAATTTTTTTCAAAATATAAGAAAGGAGGTAGTTACCCTGATTTGACCCAGAGCAGGAAATACAGAAGCATCACGAGGAAGTCGGTTCCTGTGAGATAAGTTAATCCAACCTGATAGAATCAAGAAAATGAGATGAAATTGAAGAGACCATCAAATCTAGGGGTTGGCTTTCTGACTAGGAACTTAGACATCGTTAGAGACCTGAGTCTAATACCAATCATCCAAAGGGACAGGTCTGAGGTCCCAGCAAGAGAACTCACTTTGAAAGAGTTACTATTCAAATGATATGTCAGGTTGAATGACATTTGACAGAAATATATTCTAGAATACTTTTTTTAGAAGAGGCTAATAAAATAATGGGAAGAATTATATTGAATGGAATTATTTTTGATAATGAGAATTATTTGGGTAGATTCTTTGCAGCTATGTCAACATGATATTTAAGTCAAACAGAGATCAACGTTTATATTATACTCAAACACCGTGTAATTTAAAGAACTTATTGGTACCATGTAGACAAAATCAAGTGATCAGTGGTTCTGCTATACTTTTATCAACTGACTTGGTTAGTGTCATGTTGACATAGCTTGAATTAATACCTTTATCCCCAGGCAAATTCTTGTCTTCCAATCACCTCTCCTCTATTTTCATAGTTAGCTGTTTATGCCACATTTGTTTGCTTCATCCTCTGCTCAACATTTGAAAAACAATCATCGATGCCAGTTTTAGTTGCACAATAAATTTATCAACATAAATTTAGACACTTTAAAACGGATACTAACTTTCACTGCTAACAGTTCTATAAGGATACTTCAAAGCTGGCCAAAACAATGCATTTTTTGAAGAAGCAATACCAAGTTTCCACCTTGGTCTGACTTTGATCCTGTTCCATTTTTTGAAATTTCATTTATTTCTTTTCAATCTTGTATGTTCCTCTTCTTTGGGAAATGTGGAACGATAATCAATCTTATATTAACCAGATAACAGATGAAAAATGAACAAGTCTGAAAATGAAGACTTGTTCTCCTTGTATGAGACAAGCAGGGCATCATCCAGAAAGTATAGAGAAGAGAGGGTTTCCCATTTTTAATTTTAGATATTTTGATAAATCTTCAAAAAAGCATATGTAATTTACTCCTTTCCATCCCTTACATGTAGAAGGGCTATAGATCACATACATTACTTTTTAAAAGTACACCCTTGGAAAATTATTTTTAAAATAAATCATCAGCATTTCACCCTGTGATGCTTATTTCCTGTTCCATGGCCATTATTTTAGGAGCCCACAAAGTTAATGTCTTTTTTTTTTTTGCTTTCTCTTTCTCTTCCTCTTAACAAAATAAAACTGTGATGTGTCTTCTTTGTAAGAATTTAGGTAAAAAATGCTATGCAAGTTTTTCTTTATAGTAAGAGCTTTATTTTCTTTAATAATATATCCCCAACTTATATGTTTTAATATCCTTTGTCCCTCAGAATAAGCAGAAAATATAAGTAAAGCTTATAATGTTGTAGAAACAAAAATTGAAACTGTGCAGTTGAGCTAAAATTAGCTATAATTTTTAAAAATTAATTTTAAAATGACTTGGGTCTTCATCTTAGTCTATTAGCTAGTGAATTTGGGCTTTTGCTTTTTTAAAGCTAGGTGTACACAGTGAAGGAATGAGACAATCTATGAAGGGGATCAGTGTAGTAACACTAAGTCATCTAAAATATGGGACAATGACATGAGATATTGTATATTTCTGGATAATTCCCTTCTGCTGTCCTTTTCCCACTTGGCTGTATAGATAAAACTATGTGTTCAAATGATGGTACTTTGACTTTTGAGGGTTTTATTTTTCCTTTTTATCCAAAAAACAATCATCCTCATTTATTTTTATTGTGTGTATACTCCCAACTGGGAACTTCTGCTGCTGCTGAAACTTCTTTGCATTGGGCCAAGAAGACCAAGATTGGAAAGGTTCCTATCATGTCTTGTAGGGTTCACAGAACTATTTGGAGTTTAAGTGGTACAGTCAAGACCCTGTCATCTAAAAAAGGTTACAATAATTTGGTTTCTTTGCTAGAGTTTTTCTAAAGAGATAGAACCTAGTTACAGTATTTATTTTAATCTTGTATACAATGTGACATAGACTACTAAAATAAAAATCAGACTCCCTTTTCAATTAGGATGTGTGGGGTTCTCAGCTACAACAGGATGGAAAAATACATCATGGGATGTTTTAGTGTCTTCTGTGTCGTAGGACAGCTGATGACATCCATCAGCAGTGGATTGTGCTTCAATAGGCACTTTCAGAAATGACAAGTGCTTTTGCTGACATATCAGCTCTGTACCGGGAAATCTTGTTGCCACTATTTGATATTTTGAGAAAACTAGTTAAGAATTGACATTGGCAGTAAAAGGCTATGGAAAGAACAAAATCATGTACAAAACTCTGCTCACAAGTTTATAAGAAGCAAAGTCTGCCTGACCCAGTGAAGTAGTTTCAGAAGTAGGAGATAGTAACCGGCATTGGGTAATTGTCACAGTGCAATGGAAATCCTAAGAGGAAAATGGTTAGCCATGATCACACTTATATTATTTATTGTTCTTCATACCCAGAGTTGTCATTAACACCTACTTTGGGGAGAGATATGTTTGATGGTGGAATGACCTACCTTCTCTTGAAACTTGTCATTTGCTTTAGCAGTCATCACTGAACAGTCACAGGCAGTATGACAAAGAGTGTAACCCCTGACACGTTTCTTTCCTGTGTCCAGCAAAAGACATTCTCCCCTGTGAGAAATAATGAGATTTCTAATTATCTGGACATTGATGGAAAATATATTAGACATATTTCCCATGATTAAAAAGAGTATCCAAGGATAAAAAAGAAAAAAAAAGAATGCAATGTGACTTAGTCTGTATTAATGTATTAATAATGTAGCAGATACTAAGGCTCCTTGTTTTACTCGTGCATATTGCCACTGTCTTAGGAATTTGACATGAATCAGAAACTTCCCTCCCCAGGACAGAGGACAAACAGTGTAAATTGTGAGCTGAGCATCTATTCAAACACAGGGCAGTGTTGCAATCCAACTGACAGGGAGCCAATATTGTCCCTGATCATCAAAGCTGGACTGCAGATTCCATTGCACAGAGAAGTCAGTGAAGTGGTTAATTTCCTTTTGGCTTCCTTGTTTATATTTTTGTCTGGTTTCTAACAAGAAGACCTTAAGTTTTCCTTTAGAACATACATGAAAGTAATTGGTTTTTCTCACGACCTACCTTTCTAGCTGCATGCTAAAAGTAAAAGCAGTGAACAGAGCTCCAAAAGAGGAAAAGACCCAGGCACAAAATGAAACAAAAACACCTCCTAGGTCTTTGAATTGTGAAACCTTGCCTGATGCTCTATTTTTTTTCTTTCTTTTTTTTTTTTTTTTAGGGAAGTAGTAATGTAGGAAACTGTAATTTTCTTTCTTGAATTTCCCTGGCAATAGGAGATGCTTGCCACTAATTGTGGAAAGTTTGGGGAAGTATGATACTTGTTGCAGCAACCAGATTATTTTGCTATAGTTTTGTTTTCTTCTCCTTTTCTATTAGCACACCTCCCCGAAGAGCACAAAGCAAGAACATCCCACAGGCATTTTTAAATGCATATGAAACACATGTTGCGTGCACACACAAAAACACACACGGAGGCATTTGTATAATATATCCACGGGATGTAAGATTTATAACCTGGCTGAGGCAAGGTGAAGGCTTGGTTCACTGTGTGTCCCTCAAAGGACCAGTATATATTCATTGAAAGTTACTCCTGATGATTTGTTATTGTAAACCATATGTTGATTTGCTTCTGGTTTGTGTTCAGTGCGTTCTCTCTGACAAGGGACTGCAAGGGGCTGGAAGATTCTGCATCACAATCCTCTGAGACCTACTATGTCGCACACTTTGTTAACTAAAACTTCACTCTACGCTATACAGTACCTTGTTGATATATTCAGTAAAGGCTTATTTTAAAAGAAAATCACTTTGTGTTCATCTAAGTTCATTGGGGGTCATTCAAAACTTGCTTTGCAAATGTCAAGAGGAATAAGAGATGCCTTCTGATGGAGGCATCCATTAATAGGAGGATAGCAGGAAGGAGGAGATGAGAAATTTTCAGTTCCTCCTACCTTGAGGACAACTTCTATTTTTTTTTTCAGGATCTTCAAACTTTCCTTGTGTGTGTTTATATGAAATCCTCTTGTTGTTTACTATTTCCGATTTGAGTTGTGTCTTCCTATAAATACATGCACACGCTGAGCATATTACTTTGTATTTGTGAAATCTTTGCTACTTAGAATATAGAAAAGCACTACTATAGCTATCCAATCTAAGCAGCCCTCTCTACTTCATATTTTAGATGTATAAATATAGTTGGATTTCAATGTCCATTAAAAAATAATTTCAATAGTATTTTTCCACTTTAGTATTATTTATAACTACTCTACACATACATTGAGTGATCATTCTTGAAAATATATTCAGGGCTGGAGAGATGGCACAGCAGGTAAGGTGCTTGCCTTGCATGCAGCCGATCAGGTTTGATTCCCAGCATCCTATATGGTCCCCAAGCACAGCCAAGAGTAATCCAGAGTGCATGATTCAGGAGTAACCCCTGTGCATTTCCTGGTGTGACCCAAAAAGTAAAAAAGAAACAAGATATATTCATGTTCATCTTAGACTCCGACTTGATATCACAATTTATCCAAATCTCTCTAATCTTTCTTGGTCATTTAACAATGATGCATTTGACATAAGCAAAAAAAAAGTTTATTACATTCCTTCAACTCTGTGCTGTTAGCTATTCTTGAAAACAACATCAAAGAATAAAATGTACTCTCAGTCAAATCAAGAATGCCTTTTAAGCTATCATGTCTATTAATGATATTTTTTTAAACCAATTTATTTACTCATTGCATATAATTGTGTTAGGTTCTACTGGGAATTTAGAGAAAAATATGGTTATGCAAAAGAGCTCACAAATATTGCAGTACACTCATTTCTAATTCATTTCAATGTCTCTGAATTGTTGTAATGACTTTAAATTTTCTCATTAGAGTCAACAGAGTCAGGTAAGGAAAGAGACACAAAGTTATTGGTAAATTTGATAATGTCTCTGTCATACCTACTAGGTGATCTTAAATAGATGTGAACAGAGTAATAGTGCACTAATAAAATGAGAAATAAATTTGGGTGAAAAAATTCAGATTTATAGCAAGTAGTTGAAAATTTAGGACTTTTGTAATTATACAACTGACCTCTGAAACGTTCACTGAGCATCAGATTGAAAATCAATGTAAAATAATAAAAATATCTCCCAATTATTGAACTCCTGTATATAGCTATGATCTTACTTAAAATCTTTGATACAGATCATCACATTTATCCTTTAACCTTGTAATGTGCAGTCTCTTAATTTTTCATACAATAGATAGATTATACAATAAATAGTTATACAATAGATTCCTGAAATGAGAAGTGGTTGCATACATTTGTCTAATTCATGAAAATCAATTGGACATTTAAAAATTCTCAAGATACTAAAAATGTTTTATGTCCCCTGATCAGTTACTCATGTTTTTATAGAAATTCTGTTTTGTGTTTTATGGCTTCACATGTATGCAATTTGAAAGCTTCAAATGGAATTAAGATAGAGCTACACTCTTAGGATTACTGGTAAAACTATTAAAACAACTTAAGTAAGATCATTTTTAGAAACAAATTTTTGTTCCATACTTGAGTTTGCTCTGAAGTGTTTACTTTTATGCCAGTATCTATTCTATGTCAGAACATTAGAAACTGGGTTCTACTGTAGCAAAAATTACATGTTTATTTGAGAATATTTATATCCTGCTTTGCTTTAGTTCTACTGAATGATAAGAATTAATAATTTTTAAGGCAAATTATAAATGAGATGTTATTTTTTTGTGTACACACCAATTAATTATCCTATTTTCCTGATATAAATGCTACTCCAGATGAAATTTTTAATGTTTCTTTAGGGAGAACTTTATCTCAATCATCATCCATATTGACTCTATTTTTTCTTAATCCAATATAAACTTCTGGGACAGATTGTCTACTAATTTCCCAGTTTAGGTAGAAGGGACCTTTGGTGATTTAGTTTTGCTTTTCTCCAGTACATACTTGCTGAAGCCTGGTAGATTTGGGTGCTGAGTAAGACCGTTTTCCAGGACAGCTACCTAGGAATCAGCAAAAATCTCTCTGGAAGCTGCTTCTATTTACCTGGACTGGGCTTTTCTTGCCTTGTTTTCATGTTTCCTCTGAGCATTCAAACAACACGTTTAAATAACTCATCCACACAACTGATCCTGGAACTTACATGCTGACTTAAGTGTTTGCTTCTCTCAGTTTGTCAAATCTGATATGCCAAAGATCCTTTGTTCAGTCTCTTTCCCATTCAACCTTACCTCTGTACTACAGAAACAAGGATAATCTGTCCTTTGGACGTGATTGTAGCTCAGTCTTGCTTTTAAAGTATCTCATGCCCATTATTTTGAAGAGACAATTCAGATCCTCATTGTGGCCTGTATGTGATCTCGGCTCTCTCTCATCAGCTGAAGCTCCACATTTAATTAATTGGTAAAATAAAGAAAGAGCTGGCTGGATAGTACAGGAAAGGTTCTTTCCCTTTGTACCCCAGATGGTCTCCCAAGCACCTCCAGGAATGATCTCAGAGCAAAGAGCAAGGAGTAAACCCTGAGCACTGCTGGGCCTGGTCTCCAAACTGAAAAAGAAATAAATGAAAGCCAAACCAACCCAAACCATCTTTAAATAGTTTCCATTCTGTCTCTAAAATTCAAGCTTTATTCTGCTCTAATTGTGTTCAAATTCTTTTGTTATTAGATATCCTTTGCCTGGTGCCATATCCTCCACCAAATTACAATTCTAATGTTCTCCCTTCTTTCCTTCCCTTCTTCCCCTTACCTTGGTAAAAAACAAAACAAAACAAAAGCTTTCTTGACTCATTGCATGACACCTATTAGTTATATAACCCCTAAGTTAATACAATTTTGCAATGCATTCATTTCTAGCAGCTATATTTGTGAACTAGACTATATAGACTATAAGTTATAGTCTAGTTCTCCTTTTACGAGGACCCAACAAGTTACCGAGAGTATACTGCCCTCATGGCAGAGCCTGGCAAGCTCCCGTGGCGTATTCGATATGCCAAAAACACTAACAATGATGTGTCTCATTCCCCTGACCCTGAAAGAGCCTCCAATGTAGCACTATTGCAAATAACAAGTAAGAGAGGTCACTAAAATCTCAGGGTTAGGACGAATGCAGATGTCACTGGTGCCTGCTTGAGCAAATCGATGAATAATGAGATGACAGTGATACAGTGACATTGACAATGACGGTGATATTTATGAAGTTTTGTGTAGGACTGTGTCATGCATTTGCTCTGGGATTCCTAGAGATAGAACCAATTCTGTGAATTATGTTTTTTGCCAGTGCTCTGGCAGACCCCCTGCACATGTTTGTAGCTCATAGAACCTTTCAGTGACATCAGAGTTCCCGTGGAGTCAGCTCTAACCTAGAGGATCGAGTAGGATAACGACTTCCTGTCAGTCCCTGAAGGATGGATGATTTTTAGAAGTACAAATAAGTTTTCATTGGTGAAACATTATATTATTATATAGGTTTCAAGTGAAATCATTATAAATCAACATCCTTTTGCTCTATTTATCCAATGCTCATCTTCCCTTGGATGACTTCAAAAAGCCTCAGAAAGATCTTTATAATTATGAATTATGCAGAGTGAGCCTTACTCAAAAGTTACATTATGCGTTTTCCAAGAGAGCAAAATATTTTCTAAAAAATATCCCTGGGTTCTCTCTATTATTTTTCACATGAATTTTGTTTTTCTGGTTGTTTGGTGGCCATACATTAATCAGATTTGAAGGCATTCAATGAGATCAGACTTTGTTTACACCCACAGGGAGGGCTGAGAGAACTATTAAAATGATTTGAACAATGTCTTTTTTATATTTTACTGACAGCTTCAAAGCTCTGAGTCAGCTTGCATAAAGCTGACTCAAAACTATAAAGAAATGTCTTAAAGAATTTTCTTGCCACAAAATGTCACCATAGTGAAACATATACAAAGTATGTATAGACAGAATCAAGTAAAACGTTTTGACAGTTTTCTAGTTGAAATAGATTCCTCACATGTAAAAAGCAGAGAAAGATTACTATTTTTATTTTAATCAACATTATAAAAAAGGAAGTCATTACCCACTGTGTCATATCTTGTATTGAAAAATAGGGCATGTATCATTTAAAGGCTCACATCATTT